CTCTGGTCTGAGAACAGCCTTCTTGCAGGCCTGGCACACGGGGCCACTCCGGGAAAAACTCAGGGGAAGTCGACGGGTTCGATTCTGGCACGTTGGCTCCTCACATATTAACCAACCCTGCAAAAAGGGAGAACACAGAAGAAAAGGCATTTTAAACATAAATTCAAGTTATAGCTCCTTTTTATCTCACCAAAACAATGAACCATACTCAAGGAAAGAAAAAAATCCCAACTTCCCAACTTTAATGTCCTCTGTGAAGCTGATACTATAGTATGTGTTGCTAAGATCCAAAAATCAGATATAAAGAGGTGAAGGTCCTTGCTTAAGGTAACACCATGGTGGAGATCAAAGCTGAAGTCCTCTTGCTTCAAAACCTCACATTCTGCACACTGCAGTCACACCTTCCTTGAAATATACTGAAACCTCTGCTCTTCTCCACTTCAGACAAATTTTACATACGAGAGAATTATTTTACACAGCTATGTAGACCAGACAGCAAGACACCCCATCGACCTGTAACAAATTAAATTTTGAAGTAAAGTGCCATTTCCTTGCTTGTGCTTTAGAGGGGAAAAACGGTTTTAACTTTTAGGTTTTCTAATGACAGTCAGAAACTTTTTCTGTGCTCTTTTCTTGTCTTTTCTCTTTTAAAAAAAATATTTTTTAATAGGAACCTATTGAGACTTCAACATAAACTGACTCACTTAGGAAACACTAACATTTTGTTGAGTTAAAATGAAATAAAATCTAAACCAGCTTGCTCTATGTCAGCTCAGAGAGACGCGCAAACAGCTTCTCTTAAGAGTATGAAAGAGCTAATGCTTCCAGGCTTCGTAAGGATATACCTTTTGTACCAGGTCCAACCATAGGTTAAACAATGCCACACCTCATCTCTAAAAACCACCACCAGCAGATACCTAAGGAATAGCATAAGGAAGGCACACAGTAAAAGTTTCCCAGAAGATTTTCCCAGCTTTTGGAAATGGCTCAAGGATCTCCTGAATCACTGTCTCTGTGTTCATTGGTGACGGATGCATTACTACCCTCATCTTGATGAACTTCAAGCGCTTTTCGAACCAATGTAAACTTTTTGCATCTGCAACATCCTGCCAAACAACTACACACTATATGAAAAAGTATCTGATTTTTCTTGAACACAAAGGAAAAAAAGTTTTCCTTTTTTTAGTGCTTTCCAGTCCTTGTATCAGGAGAGACTAAGAATAACCATTCTGCATTCACCTTTTCCACACCACTCATGATGTTACAGACCTCCATCACATCACCTGCAATCAAACTCTTTTCCAAACCAGAGTCCTAATTTACTTAGTTGCTCCTTGCACGGAAACCACTTCACATCTTTGTTGCCCTTCTCTGAATTTCCTCCAGGTCCTTTTTCAAATGAGGGGGTGGGGGAAAATGGGAAGGGAGATGAAACCAGTATTGTACACTGTATTCAGGAAGCTAGATGAACTTGAATTTATACACAAACAAGATGGTATTTACCTTCTTGTTCTCTGCTCCTTTCTTTCCTCAAGCTCTGTTTGCCTGGAGCACTACTGAGCATTGAGCACTGAGTAGTCATTTCCAGAAAGATATTTATTATTATCCAAAAATTATAATTTTATTATTCAGGAGTAAGTCATTAAACACATTGTATGCAAAATTAAGATTGGGTTTTTAGCATCTGCACTACTTAACATGACTTGTCAGAGGATTTAATCTTTTATTGTGAATTGACAAGTCAACTTGGTATCACAAGGTCTTTCTGCAACTGTTCTCAAACAGTTCCTGCTTTTACTACCCCTGAGCAGCTCAGCACTGTAAAATTCTGTATTTCAGTTTATCAGCTGTTGATGTCTCTGCTGTGAATAATGACTGATTTTGCCTCTGTTTCCAAAATTTTTGTTGCTCCTGCAAAGAAGTTTAATCCAACCACACCAGGATTCCTGGGTAGTTTGACAGAATTATTACAAAGCAGAGGACAACTCAAGAAGTTGCTTGCTTCCTTTCTCCCTGGCTCTTTAACAAGCAGTCCCAACATTATGCTCAGGCAATGACTTCTACCGAATTTCCACAGTGGCAAATCAGGTTTCCAATTATTACTGTGTTTCCTACCTTTCCATGTTCCACAGCTCCACTCAGAGCACTATGTCACTATCACCATCTTGGTCATAAGTCAGTAATTAAAGTTTGCAACTATGTACCTTTTCTGGCTTTCATTTCCTGGAGATTCTGGTTTGCTGGAAAGCAAAGTCATTAATAAGGCATGACTTAAGTTTTATTTCCTCACTGGCATGGCCAAAATTGAATCTGTATTTTGTATCTCATTAATCCAGCATCCTGACTGAATATGACGATGTCAGTAGCTTAGTTTAAAGTTAGGCATTTGAGTTGCTTTGGAACTTGTGTGGAAGAATACATTAACTTTAGTTTTCCATTTTCCAAAGCCTTGTTAAAGTGGGACTTGACTTGTCTACTCTTAGAAGTTTGGGGTTTCTTTGGTTGTTGTTGTTTCATTGTTGTTATTGGTTTTTGTTTTTTAAAGTTTGTCAGTATCTTTCCTATCATTTACTGGAGTATGAAGGGATTTGTTTGTTACTTGCAGCTTGTTCTCTAAAGGATCAGATAACCTGAACACTGTGTTCTTTTGTATTTGTCAGCTTTATCCTTTTCTTCAACTTAAAAATATATTCTTCTACGATCTTTTCAAAAGAGCTAGAAGTCCAATTCAGGGTTAGTTTTTGTTTGCTTGTTTTTGAGATGAAAGCTCAAATCCTTTCCAAATAAATTCAATTATTCCAGAGACCTCTCTTCTTTCACCATTTCTCCAGCTATGTCATATCCTCACTATTATCCCCCTCTGTGATAAACCCATCAAAACACTCATGTCACTCTTGCAGAGAGGAGCTTTTGTGCCCATGTGGGCAGATCAGAAAACTTTGTGGGGAGCTTCATGCCAACAGCAAGGTATGCAGCACTACTTAAGATGTGTGCTCAAGTCCGTAATGCAGAAATGGAAGAAGTTCATTAAGATCTACCGTTAGGGTTCATTTGACTCAGCTTTTGATATCTAAATGCCCGATACCCAGTCTAAGCTAGTCACCCTATGATCTATATATAGTAAATGGAGGAATAAAAAAGCTTCTCCAAAAAGCAGTTCACCTAGCAAATTTTGGGATGAGGCAAATCCTGCTCTAGATTCATTTAATAAAATAAGGGTACATCTAATGTCAGAGCAAGCTTTTTGGAAACAGTGATCAGTGTATGTGATCGCTATGTTTGACTTTTATTGTTATGCAGATTAACAACGCAAATCATTGCATATTTAATACTGCAAGGTGAGAAAATTCCAAGAGTTCAAAAATCTTGTGTAGATCTAATTTTGGTCTTTTCCACAACTGTTGTCCTAACGGCCCTAGTACCACTTTCCTTGTCACATACAAATTATTTATGGCAAGTGACATATTTCACAAGTGACATTGGAAAGGTAGACACCGCTCAACAAGACTGAGCTACTTAATCTGCAGATTCTTCACTGTGAAAAGTCCTAATTTAGGACCTGACCTAAGGGAGACATCTGACCTGTCCCTTCTGGACTCAGCAGTTTCAAATAAGCCTCAAGTCAAAAAGCTAGTCCTTAGCTTTGGTTTTGCAAATGAACCTAAGATTTATTTCTAAAAGAGGAAGGTGTTAATGTGTTGCCTCACATTTTTTTAAACAACTCAATTTTGATAGACATGGAATAACTTTCTGCAGGAAAAAAAGATACTCAAAGATAGCATTGATATCTTCAGGCACTCACGTGAGTATTGAAAATACCATTAGAGCCACTGCAAGGAAGAACACAAAAACATTTCTGGAAAGGATAATGAACTGTCACAGCTCTTCTATTAACTTAATTCTCTGAAACAAAAACTATGCTCTGTGTGGAAAGCTCTTTATGCCGTATTTGTCTACTGTGTGGCATCTCTACCTTCCTATGAAACATCTGGTAGCAGTCTGACATGAACGAGGCCTTAAAACACACAGCCAGGCAGGGGGAGGTGCAGAGGGTATCCTCACCCATCCCAAAACCCTCCTGGTTAAGAGCATAATTGCTTCAGCTGTAACTATGAAAAGATTCTGTGTACACAAAGAGAACACTCATGACTCAAAACATATTAAATGACTACATTTGAACTTTAAAACAATTTATTATGCTAGAAAGGCAAAGCATGGAAACTGCCAGATAGTAAGGTATTTAGTTAGGGAATGCAAGTGCAACTGAACAAACAAAGCCTGGAATGGGAGCAGCATCCCAAATTCAGCTGAGCAAAAATAGACAACCAGGAAAATAACACATGAAAAAAGTCATAGTGTGTTTTCTGCCACCTATTGGCATTTTTAGCTAACAATTACGACAGAAAGGACGACACTACTTTCAAAGTACTGCTCCTATTGTCGTATAAGGGAACGCATAGATGGTTCACTCAAACTACCCTCCAAGTCTATTTATGCAATTGTTCCAGTCTAATGCAGTTACTGTTGAAGAAAGCGATGGGAACTTCGCTGGTCACAAAATGCAGGTGAAAAAAGACTGAAAAACTCTGCTTGAACTAAAAGCAATAGCTTAGGACAAAAATAAGCATTCAAATTCAGCAGCTTACTATTAGTGTAGTTTTCAACTACTCAGAAATAATGTTCAAAATGTGTAAATTTCACTGAAAAGTACCTTTCTCAATAAACTACATAAAAAAGCAGAGATACAAGTTGTTGCCTACAATAAAAAAAGCAAATGTTACTTAGGTACTAACTAAATGTCCCTTCAACTCATATAGAAAACAGTTAATATCACTTGTATAGACTTCCTACCAGTTATAAGTAACATTAAAGAGGTCTTTTCTTCTTTGTCACCTCTCTATTCAGGCCTTATTTGCGTTTGTTTGTACTTACTATCTGTTAATCTCTCTTAACAAATGACAACAATAACTGTTGCTATTATGCATGGAAATTAAACATGTAGATAACTGTGTGAAGGGAGCTATTTTTGAAAGAAGCAGTATCAGAAACAAGTAGCTTTTTATGTCTCTTGTTTTGCTTTGATAATTAAGCCATAGCCTTGATTTGTTTTAAACAAA